TTATTCACGAAGTGACGAGTCGTTAATTTCGTTATTTTCTGTTATTAAATTCTGAAAATTTTTCTCTTACAATTCATTACCATGCTGGCCATGTGCGTATATTTTACACGTGCAAAGTAACAATAAAATTAATAAATATATTTGTCATTTTTATCCAAAATATATAATTGCATTATTGTTATTATCAACGAAAAACAATAACGTCGTTACCAAGCTGTTTTTAAGAAAAACGTAACATGTAACTATAAAGATAGTACAAGAAACGTGTTACATCTTATTTTTAAAAAGCTCTTTGGTAGCATTTTATAACTGATACATGAGTTTATTAAATTGAAGAGAATGAGAAGAAAGAGGAATTAATTTTTCCAAAGAATTACATATTAAGATCAAAGATACAAGTGTTCATCGTTATTCGTGACTTTATTACGATAACGGAATATTACTTTAAAGTGGAAGCGTTTCAATACGAAATGAGCGCAGATTGATAGGCTAGAAGATTTTCAAAGCAAAAAGCTAATAATACTTCAGCAGTAATATTACCCGCTTATTACAGAGTTACAAGTGTGATCATTAAAGTTCGCCGATTAACTCAATCGAATGGATGTCGAAGTTGTTCCCTTCTGCTTGAACTCGCCCGCATGTAGCCGTTACTTACCAAAGTAATTACCATTTCTATACGCGTCAACCCCCCATTTTTGCTCCAACTTCTTTTCATCCTGCTTCTTCTTGTTTGTCAAGCCGCAGTAGTCATGTTACAAAATGTATTGAAATACTTTTATGTATATATTTAACGTTCTCTAATCTACGTATCAAGAATGTTTTAAATCTCTGACCCTTCTTTTTGTCACCTTTCGCTTGTCAAGCTCCAGTAGTTCCGACGATAAATACGATCGAAATGCCGACACGTGCAAACGACACGAAGGAATCAGGGAAAGATTAAATGAAATGCGAACGAAAAAACGGTGAGTCGAATTGGTAGAGATTGAATACACTTTCGAGACCTTGAGTGGATAATCATCTGCTTATTGAATCGATTTTAAAAAGAAAAAAAGAAAAAAGAATTCGGCTTTCAGCCATACACGTTCTTTTTGTTATCTGTACACGATGTTCTATAAACAATGAAGTCGCTTACCGACAGAAATTCAAAGGCGACCTTTGTTACATAAAATTCTCCTACCCGCCATTGGTCGAGTTTGCATATCCACCTGTACAAAAGATTTTGCCTATTTCTAGGATTGAGGGAAATTTAACGAGATATATTTACTAAAATATATCTCGTTAATGTTTTATCATAGTGCATCCTATAAATAAAAATAAGAAAAAATATATATGTGTACATGATGTCCTATTTTAAATGAACCAGGCAAAAATCTTGAAAAAAAATGATATACTAAGAAAGGTTTCAGACAAAAGTTGTATGGTTTCAAAAACAACTATATCATTTTGTTTACAAATGGTGCCACTTTCGAAATATCTACTAATCATTACTTTTCTTAAATGGAAACCCCAATTTTTTATTATATCATCTTTTTCAACCAATTAATTCTAACAACTTTTGTCTGAAACATTTTTTTATTTGTCTAATATTTTTTGAGGTATTTAATATTTTTGAGATATTTAATTTTTGAGATATTTAATATTTAATATTTTTTGGGATATTTAAGGAATTTAATAACTTTTTCAATATTCAACTTACGATATCTCACTAACTATTTGTCGGAAGAAGAAATAATATTAGACTTTTTTACTCTATTTGGTCCTAAAAATATATTGTTACAATAACGCCTTGACTTTTGTTAACTTATCGATCTTTGGAAATTTCAAATTCATCAAATTAATAAAAAATTGGGATTTCCATTAAAAAAAAGTAATGATCAATGAATATCTAGAAATTGGCGCCATCCGTAAACAAAATGATATAGTTGTTTTATGTCTTCCTTGAAACCATACAACTTTTGTCTGAAACATTTTTTTCTGTAAAATGTTTAGTTTTCGAGATATTTCACCGTCCCGATACTTTTTATACATTCTGTATATATATATATACATATGTCCGCAGAAGCTTTATTAATTAAAGCTTTATTTATTAAAAAGTGACAACAAAGGAATGATACATGTCACGAGTGGAAAATCTGCTCTTATTATTAATTATCATTATTGTAATATTATAATTTTATTAATGTTCTATTTCAAAATATCGGTCGTTTTTGTTAATACGACATATTTCTTATTTCTTATTTTTATCCATAGAACACATTGGCTCAATTTAAGGACATGAAATACCCTGTATATTTCAACATATGCAGAGTAACGATGAAAGTAAGGATTATATTTGTTACTCAAAAATTTAATTGTTATTACCGCTATTATTAAAAACAAAAAATAACGTTGCCATCACTATTAAATCATCAGTGGAAAAAAGGAATAGCTTGCAACAGTAAATGGCAAGTTACAAATAACGCATTAGTTTCCAACTTTGCTTATTTCTACTGAAGTAACCAAAGAACATTCTATTGAACTTCAATTTCTTATTAATGTACATAACATTTTTCCGCAGAAAACTATAAAGTTTCGCGATATTTCGATGAGAAAATCAATCATGGTTAAGAGTCGCACTGCTCTTAAATACCGTACGACGTAAAATTCTTATATTGCAACGTCCGCAAAACGACTACAGCAACCTTCGTGCCACAACAAATAATCGTCATCGCCCTAAAAGTTCGTTTTCTCTCCTTCTCTTTATCTTTCCTTCTTTCTCTCCTCTCCCCCTCTCCCTCTCTCTCTCTCTCTCTCTCTCTCTCCTTCTCTTCCTCCTTTTCCCTCTCACTGTCTCCCTTTCTCACACCACTGGCACGCAACAATTAGAAGAGTCGGTCGTAAAAGTCGGTAGTTACGATCATGTTCAGTCGCGCGTATGTAAACGTCTATTAATAATTCGATCTCATTGCGCGCGTCCCGACATGATCGATCGACGCATCCTGAGGAAGCGGCGGGAAGACGACCATAGTCTGATGGTGAACGACGACAATGGGAAAACATGCAAATTGAATCGCCACGTGTGCCAGTTGCAGCCCTCACAATGCGAGTAATATTTGTCAATGGATAGCCACGGGCAGAAACTTTGACGCGACATCGCATCGACGAGGTGAACGCTGAATTCAGAAATGACGCGACGGCGAATAGGAGAGAGAAAATACGGGGTATTTCAGACCACTTGGGTCATCCGATTTTTTCGTAAACGCGACATTTTAGAGAAAAATGTTTTAGACAAAAGTTATAGGGCTTCAAAGGATCTATTTACTGACGCTATGAATTTGACCTTGGGTTGACCTTGAAAAGCCCAATCAAGATCAACAAAAATCTTAAATGGAAACCCCAATTTTTTATTACACCATCTTTTTCCACCAATTAATTTGAACAATTTTTGTCTAAAACATTTATTTATTTGCCTAATATTTTTTTTTAATATTTAAGGAAACTTTATACCTTTTCCATTTTTAACTTACAATATCTCGGTAACTATTTGTCAGAAGAAAAAGTGATATAGTGGTAATAGAGCAAAAAAGTCTAGTACCACATTTTCTTCCGACAAATAATTAGCGAGATATCGTAAGTTAAATATTGAAAAAGTTATCAAGTTTTCCTTAAATATCTAAAAAAGTATTAGACAAATAAAAAAATGTTTTAGACAAAAGTTCAAATTAATTGGTGGAAAAAGACAGTATAATAAAAAATTGGGGTTTCTGCTCAAGATTTTTTATGTTGATCTTGACTGAGCTTTTCAAGATCATTCCAAGGTAAAATTCATAACATCAGTAAAAGATCAAGCCTTCGTAGATCAGTAAAAGATCAGTAAAAGATCCTTTGAAGCCCTATAACTTTTGTCTGAAACATTTTTCTCTAAAATGTCGCATTTACGAAAAAATCGGGTGACCCAGGTGGTCTGAAACACCCCGTATATTACTATCTGTTTGTATGAATAACGTGTCGGAGTTTTTAACAACTGTATGTACGATGTATCGAGGTCGAAAAGAGGTTTCCTTAAGTGAACCCGTTCAACAAAGAATCGACGACGGAAGTATCGAGTGTCAATAGAGACGTCCGTAAAAGACCTAGATGAACTCGTACGATTTGAAAGTGACACTCGAAGGGGGTCAGCTGCAGATAAAGACGCGACGTACTTTCAGCGATGGATCTCTGAGTGTACGCGGAACGAAAGAAAAGAAAAAGAAATAAAAGGAAAGTTCGACTTCCGTGATGAAAAATACTTTCAATCCGACTCTCAAAAATGTGAACCGTCGATGAGTGGCCTGCAGTTTTGAAAAATAATTCATTACCTGTTACCTATTAAACCGAGAACACACAGAAAAACTTAAACAGGAAGAAAATTGACTAGTCACAATCGATTATTCTCTTCACGATCAGGAAATAATCGATTGCAACTGGTTAATATTGTTATTGTTTAATATTGTTAATATTATCATTGTTTGTACTATTTGTGTTTTCCTATACGCTCCTAGGCTCCCTTAACTTGAAAAAGGTAATTCGTTATCGTTATTCGTTGAAAGAAAATAACTAGTTGTACCGTTACCATTACTCAAGAAGTAAAAAATCGTCAATTTCTGTTACTTTTGCAATTTCGAAGATCTCTTAGAATTTATTTGTGACCATTCGATACACATGCATTATGGACATGCGTCTATAAAGTAACGATAAAAATAACGATATTATACTCTCAGTATCGTATTATCCAACAGATTCAATTGTATTGTCTTCACTGTAAATAATAACAAATTAACGTCATCGGTGAAAAAGAGTACATTGTATCGGTGACAACGTTGCAAGTAATACATCACTTTTGTAGGTTAGCTGTTAAAAATTTTATCGAATTTTTTTCAAAAGTCAGTAGTCCGCCAGCTACTCGTTATTCAAGAAGGGGGGATTAATTTTCACCGTATCGCGATGGTGTAGTTAACTCAACGCCACTTGCCCCGCCTTACCTGACATGTAACCTTTCCTCATTATCTCGTAACCTGCATTATCGATCAACATTGTCGCGCGTGCGTTCATGCTTCGTGTTGTGCATTTCCCGAGGAGGTCATGGATGTTGAAGATGCAGACGTAGACATCTTTATCGGTTAATGGTGCGTCTACAATTAGTTGGGAGACGTGTTGTATGTCGTACGCATGCATATAATCTTGATTTTCATGTGTCGGCTATCAGTTATGAGGTTGTGATTGATATATATGACATACGTGCTATATATGACAACGTCTTCCGACTGATTGCAGACACACCCTTACTAGCTCTACATGCAACCAATTCACGGCGACCAGCCGCGTGCGCACGCGCGCCCTTGTTATCCAGCCCGTCAATTTTTCGCGCAATACATCGAGACGTGTGACGAGTCTCGATGTGAAGTTTCTAGGGCGGGGAGAGATCGGCGCGTTACCCGCGAACTGCCTTCACCGATCGATCCAGATCGACTGACGATCGACGAGTGAACTGCTCGAGGATAAGACGTCGGGCTTTTGTTGCTTCAAAAGCATCGCCGGCACATACATCCGGTCTGCGAAATAATAAAACCACGTGACTCATCATCCTGCTCCACGCGCTCTCGCTCTCCCACTACCTTCGAACGAAGAAAACTCGTATTTAAACTAGAAAAACGTCAGCATGAGGCAACGATAGCTGAGAGTAGCGAATCTATTGAGGATTTTCTCTCTCTTGTTCTTATATCGTTCGCAGGCAGTACAGGAAACGGAATGACAGACGCGGTGAGCGAGCGACAGGAAGAGGGACAGAAGGACGAATTGAGATAACAATGGAAGTGGAAGACCGAAGTGAGCAGGATATGTTTCCACAATTTATAAAAAATTGTCGAGTAAATTTTGCAGTAGCAATTAATTGTGTATAATCGCGCTTCATATTAATATCGATTTGTGTGTTGACATGATTTTTTTTTAATTAGAATTTAGTTTCTGATTTGTCGATTTGGAAACTAATAACAGTATTTCTTTACAGTATTTCTTATATTATAACTATATAAGAAGATAAATATCTACAAAGTAGAAAATATTTACTCGATGTGGAAGCTAATAATATATTTATTTATTACTAATTTATATAATAAATATAATAAATATTAAATTTATTACTAATGTGTTACATATAATATATATTTTCATATTGAAAAAAAAAAGTTATTGTGAATGAGAATGTCAAATATATATGTTCTTAAAACTGCAGTGCATCTTATGAAAACGATTCTTTACTATATTTAAATTGAAGAATTTATATTTAGGTATATTATTAATAGCCGTCGAATAAATATATTATTTATTCTTTAAATATTTGTTCTTCTTCTCATCAGTATATTTAGTCTAAGACTGCGTTCTCGACTGATTAATAATATTTTTTTTTCACTCACTTTTATCGTCCATTTTTTAAATTATTGATTTAAACATACATCTAAAGTTAAACCGATATTAACTAACATAATTCTTGCAATATTTGCACGTGTTATATGTGTACATTGATAAATGTGTGTTACTTTGATAATTCGTCGGATAATGAGTCATGCGCGATTAAGAGACATTCGTACAGTTAGGAACACGGTCGCCGATTGCAATCGAAAAGCGCAATACAGCCGCGGCGACGTCATACATGTAAATTTACGGAGGGAGGACGAAGGGTAAGACTCTCGCGTTTCACCCGATGATTTTGTCAAAGCATCGCGCTCGATAGCCGATGATAATTAGCATGGCTTTATCTACAAAGATAATTTCGCGAGGTCGCGAATAATTACCGTGTACATAGAAAGATAGGCAGCTGTCGGTGTAATCTACCATCGTCTACTGTAAAACAAACATGCAAAAAATATGAGCACGGTGTTTGTTCCGCCAGTAAGTTCTAATGTTTCGAAATACTTCGCAAAACTGCGAAGTATCGAATTTGTCATTGCGAACTTATATGCTCATAGTGTTGCATCCTGCATCGTGCATTGAAACAAATTAATTATTTATATATTATTTATATATATTATTCATAACATATATACTCGCGGAAATAAAGTTAATGAAAATTCTGTGAAAAAGTGTCAATCGCTATATCGAAAAAATCAAATCGAAACTTCAATATATATTTCAATATACACTAACTGGCAAAAAAGTCTTAACGCACGATGTAACTAGGTTAGAATTTTTTAATCATACGCACTATTGATTTTTAACTGTAGTTTTAACCATATGCATTATTTATTTATTATTTATTAATTATTCAAAAAAGTAGGAAGCGTCAAAGCAATAATTTCAATGTCAATGTGATAGCTTTATATTAATGTTTAGAAATAAATATGAACATTTAAACAGAGATGGTAAAGATGGAGCAATGGTAAAATGAATTTTCCAGTTAGCGATCAAGTAACCTCATCATAAAAATAAATTTATAAATATGTGACATATATCTCAAACTAAGTATACAAAATTGATTTTGATGAAAAGTTTAAATATGTGGGATTTTGTTATATTTTTCTAATTTACGGGAATATTATAATTCATTTATGATATTTTTTTTCAGAAATGCCTGAGTCATTATTGAGCGTGAGATAACAGTTTAATTTTATTGTCTTATTGATAGTTTAGTTTTGAAAAAATTAAAGAATAACTGCACATATCTAACGAATAGACAGTGAAACTCCCGTTTAGGAGAGGCATTTCCAATGTTGACATATATTACAATACTGACTCTCCTGAGTAATAAAAGGTTATAGCCATAGACCAAGAGGTCGTTCATTGTTTGTTTAAAAGTTATTAACAAAATAAATTTCATAGATAAGCCCTATTTTTCCAACATAATGTACATTAAAAAATAAACAGTATATATGAGTTAAACAGTATATATGACAGTATATATAACAGTATATATTTTTAACAGTATATATTAAACAGTATATATAGGTGCATCCCCTCCCCAAAAAACTTAATCTAACCCAACTTATTATATCTTTGCATATAGTTATATGTTTTAAGTGAACCGTTTCAACAATGTTCAACAATATATAAAGATGTAATAAAAGATGGTAATTATAATATTCCAGCATTTATATATTATAGCTTTTAATTGTATTCGAAACTTGTTCTAACGAATAATATGTAAGCTTTAGAGTAACATGTTTATGGCGAATGTAAAACTATATACGTTAGTTTATCAAGGAAAACAGATACAATTGTCATAAATTAGAATATTGCCATTAACTAGAATTCTAACATTCTTCCTACATAAAAAAAGTAAGCAATATATGTACTAAAGTTTAAACAAATTAACCAATCGATCGAGAATTCTCGGAAACACGTGACCATCATATTGAAATTTTAGATTGTAATTAACCAATTTGATTACTGCAATTTTGCTGCTTACGTTCTTACGTATGTCAAGACCCTTAGAAAATTTTAGTATTCTAATTATTTATATATTACTATCTATTATTTATATCGTGTGCTAAGATATTTAACCAAAAAATATTCTCAACATTTAACTAGGTTATTGAAATTTTATAACTATATACATTATTTTATTATCTATTAATTATTCAAAAAAAAGAGAATAGTATATCAAAACAAAAATTACAATACTTACTTTATATTAATGTCTAGGAATGAATTTACATGATTATAAAATACTAATATCCTGACTACATTGCATGTTAACACTATTTAGTGTAAGAAGATCCTAGCTAAACTAACTAGGTAAAAACATTTTGCACGTGTATCTTCGACGCTTATTTACATGTTCATCGACCTGTAACGTTTGCAATATTATTTGTTATTAGTCTCAAGGCGACGTGCGAAGACCGGGTGTCGATGTTTATGTACGTCACAAACGGATCAACCGAGTGTTTCCGCGCTGGATTTCTGAGTAATCGGAATTCTATCGTTTATTGTACGGACGAATCGATCGAGTGGCCAACGCAACGGCTCGTATGTCTCACGTTTATGTCCACGGGCACGCAATATCCGCCGTATGTAAACTAATTACTCACGCACGCACTTGTCTGTGGAATACACACATTACCGAACAGAGCTATATATATAACGTCGCGACGAATCCGGCGAATTAGACGTGCACAACCATGTCGAGTCTTTACTGATATCGAATGAGGCGCTGAGATGATGACGCACGTTGCAAGCCGCTGTTATTGTCGTTACAGCAAGTTGTCGAAGTTGCGCGCGCTTGCCCGACATCGTTAATTTCTTCACTTTTCTTCCCTCCGCGATAAAGCAACGACGGAAAATGTATGCAGGTGTACATACATACATACATGGACAACGGAAAAAAAAGCTTACATCGCTTTTATGAGAATTACTAGAAAAACCAACTTTTTCTATTGGACGTTAGACGTGTTTTAAAATTCATCGAGGTCAAAATATCGCAACTTTTCCTTCACTGATAACATTTTACGGGTAATATACATTTAGTTCGCAATAAGCGAGAGAGTTTCATTTTCTATTAATATTCCGAACTAAGCATTGATGAAGAAAGATAAAGTGAGATATATTAATATTTTCTAATATTTGGTGAATTATAAATATTTCTTTTAACGAAGTATTGAAATAAAGAAAATTTATAATACGTACATGATGTATACATATCTATTGTAAATTTTTTTTATTTAAATAACTTTATTTATTTTTTATTTAAAATACTATATATATATATATGTGTGTGTGTGTACGTGTGTATTCAAAAGGTCTATTTTTTTTTAATTGAACTATTAGGTAAACTAAAAAATTTTTGCGGTTTTATACATTAAAAATTAAATAAAGACAGAAATTTTCAGAAAAAATGTTATAATTGATATATAAATAAATAATTAATAACTCTTCGTTGTCAATAACACAAGAATTTTCTGAACAAGATGCAATTTCAAATGATTCATCGTTAGAAAAAAATTGTTTAAATCACTTCTTTTAGCACATCTCTAAATATTACGCGTATCTCATTGCATGCTCCTGCAACTTTTCACCCGAGTTTAAATTCATCAAGCAAACATGCTCTAGTTACATTCGATTCAACAAACATTTTAAAAGGGTGAATAATCACAAACCAAAAGATCATACGATAAAGTTCACCAATTAACTCAGGCAGATCTATGCTGTATGATAATACCCATAAACACGCGCGTTCGACAGATCTTAGCAAAATTCGACAACTCATTGTATCGAACACAAATAAAAATTGCACGA